CCTTGCTGTTCCTCTGTCCTGATTGACAGGTCGCCATGGTAGTGACTTGTCAGTCACAAGGGGGACTATAATAACGAAAATGAATATCATGTTGTATTGAAGAAGACTTGAAACTAGCAATTGAGACCATAAACTCATCAGGAAAATGTTTACTAAGGGAATAAATGAAGTGCAAAGTAGGGTCATTTTCTCCCAGCCTCCCTAGTGGCCATTAGATGCATTGCAGGTTTAAGTCACTTCCTCATCTGATTCACTTTACAGACTCTGAGGCTACGTTGACTTTTTTTATACAGTTTTTGATTTGAAAGCGACATTAAACTCTGTAAGATTCATCACTGCGTTATTGTCATGATGCTGTTTTTTGTGTGTAGGTGAGCTGCGGGTGCAGAATAACGACGACCTAGTCCATGCACTGATTACCAGCGAGGGCGGCGTCACAGGTAGTGCTGACGCTAATGCCTTCAGTGTGCTGCAAAGGATCTTGGGATCTGGGCCACATGTAAAGAGGGGCTCCAACATCACCAGCAAACTGAGCCAGGGTATTGCCAAAGCTACCACACAGCCCTTTGATGTAAGTTTTAAAAAAGAAAAGGCAGAGTTATATGGCATTGTTTTGACAGTCTGTCCCCTAATGTCAGATGACCTCTGGCTGTCTTTCAGGCCACAGCCTTCAATGCCTCATACTCTGACTCTGGCCTGTTTGGCGTCTACACCATCGCACAAGCTGACTCTGCAGGAGAGGTGACTGCCAAATTCACTCCTTCCAAGACAAATTTAAAATGTGCAAAGATGCCAGAGTCTGCATTTCACTGAAGTGTTGCTTGTTGCTGTCCTCTGTGTAGGTGATCAAAGCTGCCATCGCTCAGGTGAGGGGTGTGGCTGAGGGAAATGTATCAGAGGCTGATGTCACCAGAGCAAAGTGAGTCCTGGGCAAAGTGGGACACAGAGGTGAAATGGTTGTGTACTAAAGTATTATGTTGTTGACCCTGGTGTGTGTTTGACTTCCCTGTGTAGGAACCAGGTGAAATCAGAGTACTTGATGTCAATTGAGGGCTCTGACGGCCTGATGGAGGAGATTGGTGCGCAGGCTCTCACCACTGCAGCATACCAGCTCCCTGACGCTGTTCTCCAGGCTATAGACGCTGTCACCCAGGACGATGTGGTCAAAGTGAGTGTCTCCACTGTAAAGATGGTGAAACTGTCAATTTTGAACCTTTACGTTAAATGTAGCTGCTGAACATTTAGTAGCTAAAGAGACAGGTGTTTGTTTCAGGCGTCAGTGGAGACCAAAAACAGAACTAAAACACGAGTAAATATTGGACTTGCAGTCATCTGATTGCCTAGTCTGGGAACCAGATGGATCTGCAAGCTCATGTTTCAGTTGTTCTGGCAGATGTCTTTGGTTCCATCTCCAGTTCAGATTTCTAGCCAGCCTGGCCGAGATCAGACCAGTCGCAACTGTTTATCCAAACCTAGCTTAGTAAATAGGAGCAATGTGGAGGCATTTTTTTTGAAACACCCAAGATGGCTGTTGCTGATGTGAAACCTTGTATTGAAGTTTTATTTTTGGACTTCTGACGGCAAAAATGACAACACTTGTTCATAGCCAGGTGTCTCGCACATTCAATTATTTGTGACATTTTGGAGCCGAACCATTCATTAGGCACACTGTTAGAATATATATACTAATTCGTTATTCAGAGCACCACACCCTCGGAGCACAGAGCGTACTTTGGGCACAGACGGAGCAGCAGAACGCCATCCTCAGTGAAAGGGAAATTTAAATGTTATAATTCATATAAAAATAGAACGCTGTATTTCTTAGAGCTCTCGTTTTAGTGTTGCCCATCGTATGTTCAGCCTACTTTAAATGAAACCGACTGTGTTTCCACCTCGCTGTCCATCAGTGGATCGTCAGCTACCGCCACACAGATTCTATTGTGTGGTAAACACTGCACAGAAATACTGACGCTACACCATCACAGCTCATATTTGCATGCTGTAGTATGTATACATTTGTCTGTCGCTCAGCCCTTCATCACGTGTCATGTTGCTCTGATTGACTGTAAGTCTATCCAATTGCGTCCAGAGGGATTTCGGTCTATGACTAACTGGCATTTGTAATTTGGTCTGGCAATGTCAGGCTACAAAATGCCAGAAACATGTGTCCAATGAAAGTTCATGTTGCTCCATGTCTGCTCACTGTGTAGATTGGAGCTGCCTGGTTTTGCGTCTGTGTGTAGTGACCTTTTTATTAAGCTGTTTATGAGTAATGAAAAAATAAATGCAAAGGAAATTAGGATGTAAATGCAGAAATGGGTAGTTAAAGTAATGTAACTCTTAATAATCTAAGTCTGCAGGTGTTTTCATCAAATTTCTTTTATGTCAGTAAGTGGAGTAGAGTGAGTTGAAATGTATCTATAATTAATGTAAGTTGGAAATAGTAGTAAAATTCCCCATGTTCCTTTCTTTACAGGCTGCGAAAAAATTTGTGGATGGCAAGAAGACCATGGCAGCAAGCGGACGTCTGGTGAACATGCCGTTTGTGGACGAAGTATGAATATAATATTTGAGGACGGTTGATTTTAACTTGGGCGTGTTGCGCCCGGCTGCTTAAAAAGGAGAGAGGACCTCAAGGCCACAGCCTCCTGCAACAATTCATTTGATGTCACCAATCATTTGTAGTCTGTCCCGCAGTAAGTGTAAGCACCAACAAGAAGCCGGAGAATCACAATGCAATTTCTCTTTTGTTTTTTGTCAATTTAACTGTATATCTATGTAAATTAAAGACAGTAATAACAAGGGGTTGTTGCTTGAATTTGTATCTTGAAATAAATCCGGATTCACAGAGGGTTTTTAGTGCTGTATCAGGAGTGTGAGGGTGGTGTGGTGGTTAAAAAAGGCTGTTCAGGCAGCAGGTATTTTTAGCACATAAAGGTGATGGTCCATTTATCAACCAGTAGGGGGCCCCAAAGGCGCAAACATGACTTGGCAGGATTGAAAGTTGCCTTTAATCCAGTGTTGCACATCCTATATTTAGGTTGAAGCAGCCTTGTTTTTGCTTGTGCAGCCAGTGCAGTAGCTGCAGAGGAAGAGTTGTGGAATAAGTATTAAGTAAAACTGGCAATACCAGCTAAATGTACATAAAGAATCAAAATAAAAGTACTCATGCACTGGCCCCTGTCAGTGTGGTATTATATGTTGTGGTATTGTAGTATGTTGCAGCTGGTTTAGCTAAGATCCATTCTACTGTAGCTAAATCATAATGCATTATATAAGATGCTCATGTGTTTTGTGTGTAAAATATTAATCTGCAGAGCAGCTTGTTACTATGGCTGTCAAATACAGTGAAGGAGAGAGTACAATATTTCCCCTCAGAAATGTAATTACACACAGCCGTTGAGTAAGGTGTGCCCTAAATCTCCAAATACACTCATGGCCAAATTAATGCTTGGTGGCCACAGGGCAAACAATTTGACATAGTCCAGAGTGCTGCTATGATGAAGTCATACTACTATGTTGTCTGTGCCAGTTTGTTTATGGTAAATTGAATTATGGCTGCAAATCATGATTATTTTCACTATTGCTAATGCTGCTAGCAACTATTTTGGATTCACTGTTTATTGATAAAATGTCAAATAATGTTGAAACATGCCATTTGCAATCCTTCAAAGCCCAAGGTGAAGTATTGAAATAGCTTGACCCCAATTTTGTTTCAATTTGCAGTCATAAACCGCAAAAAAACAGTAAATTATTCACATTTCAGGGGCTGGAACCAGTGATAGTTAACTTGATAAGTGAACAACTGATTATCAAAAATTCAACTAAAAAAGGCTTTTTTGAGGGCAATATGCTTCACATAATGTTAAAATAACAGCAAAAGTCTTAGACCTTTGCATTGCACCATTGCAGCATGTATGTGGTTTATATCCTTTACCTGTTTCATATGAGCTTATTTATATATGAAGTTTTTATTATTTTATTTTACCTTGCACCTCCATTTGGTCATGTATGGGCTTAGCGCACTTTAACATATTCGCTCTTGTTCTTAATTTTTGTATGTGGTGAGTAGGGGACTTAAATGGGTGGGGACTTTTTAAATGTTTATTCTTTAAATCTGTTGAAGTGGATCACCCAGTTTTTGAAATTCATATGTTGTATTCCTATGGTCTAAGACAGTCCAAAAACATTAGTAAACATGAACAACTCCCCTCCAGATCCAAAAACTAGAGTGCTAAATCTCACATTTGTGATGTCATAAGGTATGTAGTCTGGAGCTCCTCCATAGATAATGTATTGGGAAATTTGTTGTAGATGAAACAGAGCACCCAGGGGATGTTACTAGTATATAGGTGCATTGTATGTTTCAGAGCTGAGAATACTACAATAGATTAAAGCAGAATTTTATATCCTGTGACAACAAGTTTGAGACTTCTCTGGTTTCTGGCTTTGAGAGACAGTCGTTCACAAGTACAGATTAAAATTTCCTAGACCATAGAGATAACATTGGAATTCTTAATTTAGGTGGGGTTACTATTTAAAAAGCTTGAAAAATGCTATACAAAAATAAATAAATAAATAAATAAATGATAATAATAATGATAGTTTGTTTGAGACTTCCCTGGTCTCTGTCTTTGAGAGAGAGAACTTCACAAATACTGATTAAAATTTCCTAGACCATAGAAATAACATTGGAATTCTTAATTTAGGTGGGGCTACTATTTAATAAACTTGAAAAATGAAGTACAAAATAATAATAATTATAGTCATAATAATAATTATATTTTTATTCTTATTTTATTCTTATCATTATTATCATTATAATTTGCCACAAACAGGGCGACTCAGGACATCATACACCCCGTTTAGTGCAATATATAGTATCGCGAGAAGTGAACGAATG